AGAACAACTTTCCAAATAAGTACGCTATATATGTATGTTTGTATACCGAAATTTGTGTATTTTTATAAGCAACTCATTGAAATAGATTTTGACAATTCTTAGCAAATTGGTCTTCGTTATCGAATGTGTTAGTTTTTACCGTTGTGGGTCACTCACTGCTTTGCTTCATCGTTCTTACACAAATATATCTATTTGTTGATAACCTAACGCAACCTCAGAGCGTTTTGCACCCACGCAATTTAACCAAATCAAACAAACCTGGTCTTTTTGTAATGGAACGAAAACATTTTGTTGCGATAAAATTAATATAAAAATATAAGAAAATAAATTTGTCACATGGCCTTGATTTTGGTTTGAAGACAAAAGTTATATTTCAAAGTGAAACGCAAATTTGATTATTCGTAGTCAAAAAGAAATTAACACGTTTTGTTGAAACCATATACGTAGACTTATTAAATTCAAATAAAAGAACACATTTCCATAAAATTCGCTTGATTAAAACAATTGTATGAAAATTAAAGAATAATAATATGTACACAGATTACTTTATTCCAGCGCTCACATGTACTTCAGAATCTAATATGTACTAAATATATGCAATACATAGCGAAGCAAGCCGTTCTGCAAATGATAATATAAATCTACAAAACGTTGAATGCAAAAACCTTGCCGATTGTGCGCGTTCCTTTAAAAATAAAAAGTAAATTTAGTAAAAATCATAATTAATTTGTCTTATTAATTAATCGTAAATTAAGTTCAACATGTACACACGCAAAAACATAATAAAGTTATAAGAATGAGTTATAGAAAAATTTCCCAGCCCTAGGAATGTGCATTTGATTGAGAGGAAGCAAGTTCGTTTCTTTAGTCTTTTGTTTCCGCGTTGACCTCTAGAAGTTGGCAAACTAATTCGGCGCTTGCGCAGTCGCCGGCGGTCATTGCTGCCGTTCGCTAAGCTGCGGCTTGAGTGTTATACACACACTCACGCACTCGAAATGAGTGAAATTAATGGATGTAAATACCGAATTGATAAGACAAAGCAACGTTTTATACGACGCCTTAATAAGCGGCGCATCACCATTACTAAACAAACATATTCAGAAATTCTGAAATATCATACCAAAAGGCTGCCAGATATACTTATTAATATATGCACATACACACATAACTATGCTCGAGCGTTCGTGTTTGTGTGCGTTTAATTATGAATTAAACAAAGCATATGTGTACGAGTATGTATGTGCGTATTTATGACTTTTTGAAATGCGATTTTGAAAGCGAATTATTGACCTTCAGTAAATATCCGGAAGAGTAACAAACCAAAAGCAGAAAAATGCCTGCAATAATACGAACTAAGAGTTGGCAATTAATATCACGAAACATCAATAGAACTACATGCATACATACTTATGCCGAAAGTCAGCTGAATTGACTTGGGAGATAAGCAGCAGCGCTGCGCACATTAACACGAACAGCAACAGCAGCAATGGGTCTAATCAATAGCCAATTTATATGTTGTTAAAAAATATTTGTAAAAAACATATCTATAAGCATATACATATACACAAACTTCTATGTAAATGTGCTTATACGAATTCAAAACTTTGCTGTTTCTGACATTGCGTACGAGTCTTCGGAAAAGCGCGTGAACTTCGTGAAAAATGTGAAAACAAACGTACTTCAAAATTATTTAATGACTTTTGAGTGAATTATTAAGTGCAATTTTTATCCATAATTGCGGATTAATTATATATCTTACATACAGATACCATTTAAATTATATATTAATCTTCATTAGGAAAGCGAAAGTGTATTATATGATTTCTATTTTTTAATGAAAATCTACAAAAAAGCTTTAAATATACTAGTTTACAGCCGAAAAAGATTCGTATTATAATTTTTCGGGGAGTCTTATGAATATACAATCTTTATCAATTATGTCGTTTTCGTATAAAAACCAGCCTCTACGCTATCAAGCAAGAATTTAGGAAAGAAAAAAAGGTAAATAGAGAAGTAACCAGGAAATTTCAATTAAAAATTTTTTAATTTAACTTTTCTATCCGAAAATCGGAGTTAAAAATTCTAAATTTAATTTTTTAACCCAAATAAAATATATAAAATCAATATTATCAATTTTAAAAATTTAATTTAAAAATTGAAGTAGCAAATAAAATTATTTTTAAAATCAAAAACTAGAATGAGTGACGGGATAGAAACGAAAAATTAACAAATTATATTACTAACTGAAAAACTACAATTAAATGTAAGCAAGACAAAGAAGGCTAAGCTATGTTGAAATTTTATTAAATGACCTTTTTTTATAATGATAATAGGTATTCTAAGACATATAATAAATTTAATAAAAAAATTGTCTTAAATTTTTTTAAGGTAGTATTGCTTGTTAAAACTGTTTAATTTAATATATTTTGACAAATTAAGCATTGTCGCATGACTAAAGAGTCATTCGACGAAGGCAGAAGATGGTAAAGCGATGTTATATCTTAAGAATAATTTTTGTTTTAATTGTTGGAAAGCCGTCCAATATGGTAAGTTGACAGTCCAAGTTTTCAAATATGCAGCCACTTCTGTGAATTGGGATTCTTGGAATTAACATTTTTCTTATTACTTTTTCATCTGAATTTTAAAATTATTTTTTTCTTTCTTAAAGTATTATTTGCAACCATATTTGTTAAAAACAAGCAATAAATTAAAAAGTAAGTAAATAAATTTAAGAAAGAAATGCTTTGTACACATCCTGGTTGAGAATTTTTGCATTTAAAAATTTTGCATTAAAAAATAAATTTTAATTCCAAGATCTAAAATACATATTGAAATTTATATCTTTAATCCAAGATGTTGGGATTAAAATTTTAAAATTTTATTTTTTAATCGATAAAAAAGATCGTTTTTTTATATTTTCGAAGTTTAACTAACCAAGAGCATGTCTACGAGAGGAACTTAAAAAATTCATATTATTTTCGGATATATTTTTTTGACCCGGCATCCAAACTGGTTCATCCAGCCGCGTTTTTTTTCGAAATTATTTTTTTCAAAACGAAACTCACGATTTTTCATGTTCAACTGGACTAATTTACGATTTTTTAGAGAGTCTTCTTTATGAACTTGTCTATGTCAGCAACTATCCGTAAGTTTTTACTATGTAAAAAAAAATCGAAACAATCAAAAAAAGTTTTTTTTTTATTCAGGCAGTCGCCATTTCGTGAAAAACTTGTTTTCTAAATTTCCGTAGCACCAAACATTGCGATATACCCAATAATTCTGAAGGAAAAATTTGCGACTGATGTGCTAAGAGTTCTGATTACGAACTTGAGTTCAAAAATTTTCCATCACGTACAGCTAAAACATTAAAAATACTACGTTTCAATAAATTTTTACTATCATTTTCGGTTTTAGCAACCCAAAAGTAGCAGGAAACAGCCACTATATCACAGTCGCAAAATAACTGTAAGCTAGTGTAATTTTTTTATATTTTGTTTCACATTGCTGGGAGACACTTTATCAGCAGCTATTTTTTGAATTTATTAATTTTTCCTGTATTCTTGTAATGTTCATAAATAATTAATAAACAAATAGATCGTAAAAGTATTACTTTCCCTATTTTACGACACTTCAAAATCTACCTAATCTGGGTATTCCCCCTTAATAGTAAAAGTTGAAAGTATAATTTGTAATCGCAAACATCTCGGATTAAAAATTGATAAATTACAAATCGTAAGTTTGCCAATCACTGCTTTAGAATATTGAAGATGATGGCTATGTGCGAGCTCTAGTTCAAAATGGTAGAACACGAAGTACGCAAACGCGAAAAAATTAGAATTTTAAAACATTTTTTTTATAGAAATTAATGGTACTGCTTAATAGAAGAATATTAGAGAAAAATTAAAAAATGTGACGTTAACGGTCAGTATACATATACTAAGGCCACATTAAGCCATGGAGATGATTCTTATTAAAATCTGTCAAGGATGCCTTTAGTTCGAATTTATCGATCTTATTTATTTATTTTTTTTTAGTAATTTATCTCATTTACATTATTTTTTCATTTATTGACAAAGTGGAGAAGGTGGTTATAATCTTGAATTTGAAATTCATTAGAAACATAAATACGAACTATGCATATATATTAGTGTTCTCCAAATACTTATAAAAGCGGAATAATAACGCTGTGATCAAAGCTTTTAAATTTCTGTATTGGCTTATTAATAAAAATTACTAATTCATTCTATGTCAACAATACTAGCTCAACTGCCGGTTAGCCTTCTTTTGCTGAGTGTTGAGGACGCACCAATTCTTGGCATGAACTTCACCTCAAAATCCAAATCACCATTTTTAAACCACAAAAGAAAAAAAAATAAAAAAAGGAAAGAAGGAAAGAAACAAAGAAGCAAAGAAATAACATAGAAGTGATGCCTGCATTGCAAAACAGAGGCGAAATAAATAATATACAGTTTTAAGGTATATATAAATAAATAAAAACCAATACAAAAAGAACAAAAAAATAATTGTTTATAAGAAAACCAACAGAAAAAATGTCGGAATGCGAAAATGCAGAAGTAATGGAGAGACATAAGACTTTTCGCAAGTTAATGAAAAACATGAAACTAATTTTGCACTCAATACTTTCAACGTAAGACTTGCTGACACGCAGAAATCGCATATATATGTATATAATGCATATAAGCATAATAATAAATGTGTGTAAGTAGATAGCAAAGATTTCTACTATCACGCGTAAATGCATTTTTGTGCAAACAAAAGGTAGAACTAAAAATGTCATGGGTCATAGTTTCACAAACACGCACAACAAACATTGCTAAACTTTGGTCCACACGGCGAATACGCGATCGACGGTAGAAACTCGACAAAATCTCAAACATACATACATATTTATGTAAGATGCAGATAAACTTAGATGATTTTGTTGTAGTTATAATGCTTGTACAAACACAAATGTGAACAACAACACACGCCACACGCCTCGATCACACACACACATATTCGATATGTGAATGAATGCGAACAATCGGCACTTTGGCGTTGAGCGCATGCGTCAAGTGTAAATGTGTCTCATACTCATATGAGTAAACTCATACTTGCAGCGCGAGCAATTTTGGTCAAACTTGGGAGGCAGACACATGCGAAAGCACATATACACATACAAAGATGAACAAAAAGAAAAAATCACCACCACCATTGTGGGCCCTCCGATTGATAGCAAACGTGACGATAGCAACGGCCGCGACAGCGTCGCGCTGCAGGTGAAAAGATGGAAGCGAATCGAATAGAAGACGCTAGGCTCCGATCGTACAGCAGTTAGTCTGTGGAAGTTATTCGAACCGTTAAGTGCTAACCAGCCGAAAACCTAGTGTAACGAGCAGGCGAGCAATCAAAAAAATCCAATTCATCTGTATAAAAAGTGCTGAGCAGTGTTGCGGACAAAAGCTATTTCAATTAACGACTATTGACTAGCACCTGCTAGAAATAAATAAAAATATATAAATATATATAATAAACGAATTAAGCTATAGTTGTGGTGGCGTAGGGTTCGGCGGTTAGTGTTGTGGTGCTGTGCGGTGTGTGCGATCTGCGAACTGATTTTTGCGAAATTTGGTTTTTAAAGGAACTGCCAGTGCTTTGGCGAAAAGGTGCTGCTACGAAAATATATATATGTATACACACATCTGTATATAAATTGATGAAATGATAAAAAAATTTTTGAAAACTGTAATTTACGAATTTGAAATTTTGATAAAAACTGAGTTTTATGCACAATATTTTAACTATTTCACCGTATTTTGTTTCCGCATTTTAGAACGCGCTGCAGTATTAACATAGCGGATAGTCATTTACACAAAATAATATATAAGGCAAGTGAATTATATTTTCCGTTTAATATTGCTTATATAAAAATAATTTTAAAACTATACAAATACATACAAATAAATATTAGTGCAAAATAGGAAATATTAATTATGAAGTAATAATATTTATGTTTCAAAATTTTTAATTCAAATGTAATGTTATGGCCAATCCTTCTTTTCATAAAGAAAAACATAAAAAAAACGGTTGCACTGAAGCTACAATACCCTACTCAATTAAAAAGGTTTTCAATACAAAAACTTAATTTTGATCGTTCAGTTTGTATGACAGCTAATGCTATAGTGGTCCGATATTGACAGTACCGACAAATGAGCAGCTTTTTGAGAAGGAACGCGTGCAAAATTGACGATCGATATCTCACATACTAATAGATTTTTTCGCATTTAAACAGATAGATGAACGTGGCTAAATCAGCTCAGCTCGTCACGCTAATCATTTATATTCAATATATATTTCACAGAGATTCCGACGTGTCTTTCTAGGTTTTACAAACTTCATGTCAAACTAATAACATCCTGTTAAGGGTAAAAAAAAAGACTGCCATAACTTTTTTATTACAAAAATTGATTTCTCAAATCTTTAAAAATAACTCGGAAATTTATAATTCTAAGTAGGAAAATTGTTATTATTTTTTATACTCTTGCCACATTTTGCTACAGAGTATAATAATTTTGTTCACCTAACGGTTGTTTATATCACCTTAAACTAATCGAGATTGTAGATATAGGGTTATGTACTTGTATGTATGTATATATAAATGATCATGATGACGTACGACTAGTTGAAATCCGGGTAAATGTATGTCTGTCCGACTGTGCAAGCGATAACTTAAGTAAAAATTAAGATATCTTATTGAAATTTCGTACACGTGTTCCTTAACACGAATATTTCCTTTAAAGTTTGCCATCTCAGGTCTAAAAATTGTCAATATCGTACCAAAACTATTCAAGTTCCCATATACCGGAAATGTGGACCCAAGCTGACTTTACTCCATATATTTGTTTATTTTTATATATTTGTGAAATTGCTTGAAATAAACATTTCTTAATATAAAGTTTTGCCAACACCTTAAGGTATTTCCCCGGCTTTGTACCTTGCAAGTTGCTAGAGTATGAAATGTTCGGTTACACCCGAACTTAGCGCTTTCTTACTTATTATATGATATATTATTAGTCTTAATTGACAAACGCGCTTTCGAGATTTCTTTTTTTATTCAAAACCCGATATTTGGTGATACCGAAAGCGATATGACACAACAAAAAAAAGTGGCAGTTTTGGGGCTCATGAAATTGGCTTAATGGTTATTGATCCAGTCCTTGAAAAGGTCACTATTCCTCAAGCTATGAAATAAAAATTGTATACATTGTAAATAAAAATTATAAAAAATGTTTTTCTCTTATTTTAATTGGGAAACAATTGATGAGCCTTTGGAAATACCAAAATAAGTTTTCAAGAGATTTAGTGTATTTTTTGCATTCCACTGTACCGGCTTTCAACTAAAAATAAAAAAATTAAATAATTAGTAATAAATTAAAACATCTGTTGCACTAACACTAACTAAATATGTATATAGCCAACATAACCTCACCCACAGCCAAAATTGTGTGTGTCATTGCACCAATAATCTCGAAAAAAATTAAAACAAATGCATACTTCCAATACAAAACAAGTATTATATACTCCCATAAAAGGCATTACTCATACGATTTTGCACCAACCAGGTGACCGGGTTGTCTTCATTTACTCATCTTCAAAACCGCTAATGGTTTCGCCAATTACGAATACTGCCCTTAAGGCGTGGGCCCACAACCAAGCAGCACTCGCTGCATCCAACGAAACTGGTTGTCGCATATATGTAAGTGAAATATGTGTATGTAGGTATGTGTTTCATTCATAATTCGTTAATAAAAAGTGCTGCAAAAGAAAATACATATATGCGGTAAGGGGAAAACCTTGCAAAAAGAGAGATCACCGCAAAAATTACAGAACTGGTCACTTTACGCCAATGCATGTGATGCAACTTCAAAGACTTTTTGTGAAAATACAATAAATAAAAAAAGCAACGCAATGGGAGGGCGGGTGTTAGTAAAGGATGAGAGATTTTGCCGCTCCAAAATTGCTCACAACAGCAAATTCACGCTAACCCAAATTTGTCGTCTCCCAAGCAATCAGCCGCGCAATTATTACCGCTAGATCGTATGCATTTGTATGTGTATGTATGGTATGTAAGCGCACTTGGCACAAACTTGCGTGTGCTCGGCATTTTTCGTAACAAAATCATTTCTGCTTTGGCTCTTTCGACCGGAGATGAAAGTGAAACTGAAACTGCTGACCGAGAAGTGCGCTGAAAAGGTTCACAAGGCAATCAAAATAAATGCGCACATACTGTCACATATGTGTAGTATATATATATATATGTAAGTATGTGCGCATCACAATCAACTATGAAATGGCTCAGCGGTAGGGGGATGCTGTTAATTCAGCTCCAAAGAAAAAAAAAAGCAAAATGCAGACAAAAACGTGATAACTATTAAATACACAAGCTAACAAAAGCAAGTACAACAATGCAGCAACAAACCGTATTTACGTAAATATACATATGTAAGTATGTGTGCCAAAAAATGGTATTTTCTGATTTCTTTCTTGGCCAGCGTCAACGACCAAGCAACCGGTCAGAGTGCCCTTCACTACCACTTGTGACTGCGCAACTCTGCTCCAGCTCAGATCATATTGTTTAGCGCCGATGTTAACGTTTGTTTACCAATGTTTTTATTTATTTAATTGCTCTTATCGTTTGGCCGAATTAATCATGGCAATAATGTTAATAGCGACAGTGCAAGTATTGCTAACAAATATTTGGTGGATTTGGTCATGCGGAAATCAATTGAACTTGTCGGAAGAGCGGATATTTTAAGGTCGGATTTTGAAGAGTGTGTATTTACTATGTCTTTGCACACTTTATTTTATGTCGTTTATATAACCGTTATTTTAGTTGAAATACCTAAAAATTCTGAATTATTAAAAAGTTTGCCATTTAAAAAAAATAGATAATATTATTATGAATTATTTTAATAAAATCTGTTCTCACTAGTTGATATATATAAAAACTTGCATTTGAATGCCTATATTATATATGAATGACTTAACAACTTTTGAATATGTACATTAGTACATTTATATGTAAGTACGGTACGTACATATGTATTTAGTATTATATTAATAAAAGAAAAATGGCACTCATAATATTTTACAAAAACGGCGCTTGCTCACATTACACTGCTAACTACAAGGCTAGTGATTAATATAATAATCTACTCATCGAATTCCACACTCGACGTATTGTTGTTGCTGTTTTCTATTCTTATTTTGTGCTTGCATAAAATATTATGAAAGTTGAAAGAAACTCCAAAGTCACCAAAGAATTTCGAAATGCCAGTGGGCAACAATAAACAGCCATAACAGAATACAGTTAAACAGAAGCAGAAGTAGAAACAGCGGCAGCAGCAACCAAAATAAATAATATGCAATGATTTTTATTCATGCTATAGGCAACAATTGCCATTGATTCAGCGCATACGTGAGCTTTAACTTCAAAGTGACGATCGCTATTGCAACATTTGTGTTTGCAGTACATTTCGCAGTTGGTCTGTTTCTTAGAATGATTTGCCGAGTGGACGCGAAGTGCGAATTGGTTGGTCGCAATACTTGTCAATAATAATCGCGCTAATCAGTTGATATGACAAGCGATAAATGCAGCTTTTTGGGATATGCAAATATTGAAAATATCAAAACGAAAACATGTTGACTCTAAAAATTCCATGGTTAAAGGAGAGCCAAATTATTTAATTTAATTTTATGTTTAGTTATTAGGCAATCCTTTTGCTTATTATGCATACATTTTGGCTCTGGTGCCCTATTATCTTCTTCTACAACCGTGTTGCGCCGCAATGTATACTACAATTAGTCCTGTCAAACCTTTTGTGGAACCAATCTCTTCACTCAAATTCGCGTCTTATCTATAAAACTAAAATATTTCCTGAGCCGTTGCGATTAAATTGAAATATTCCAACTTTTAAAATAAAAATAAAAGCTGAACAGCTTACTCACCCACACACTTGCAATGCATACTTACAGTAAATATATTTTTAATTACACACAAATCTGCTTCCGAGTTGGCGCCCAAGCAGCGCCAAAAATAAAATTGAATTAGCACTGCATTTGTAAGCTAATTGGCACTTCCCTTCACTTCAGTTCAAAACCACTATGCTGCAATTATTTGCTGCTAATACACTTACATGCATACACACATACACATAAACATGCGTAGCACTTTAATTATAACAAATTTTCACAACTTCGTCTCCTCTGTTGCATGAATTATTTACGGCAATAGTTGCCTGTTAGCGACAAGCTCACTCATAACGCCGGCAATAATCAACCGAATAACCCTGAGTTGGGTTGCCATCACTTTTGGAAAATTCATCAAATTGAAAATATCGCTAATTAAATATACATATATACATAAGTGTTTGTGTGTGTGCAAGTGATCACAAAATCGCTTTGATCGCAACGAAAACCACCAAATTCAATGCCAGCGCGTCAAAATTTCGGCAGCACTGTAGCGCAACGACAGCAATGGAAAATCATCACCAAAACCGTGCTGCCCGGTGCATGCAACAACAACTAACGCCACACTAATGGCTTGACAAACAACGTTGAAGCGGTGAATGTGGAGAATTTGTCAAGTGTTGAAGGTTTTGCAGAAACTGCTATGAGCGTATAAATTACTACAATTGTTGTTGTTGCGTATGATGACTTTGCAGTTTATAATTGTAATTTATATAAATCGCTTGAGTTGTTCCTGTTGTTGTTGATTTGTAGCTCTTACTGTTTGTCTTCCAATCAGACTGAGGCAAAGTATTTGCGCTGTCTAGAATATGCACCAGATATATATAAAGATTAGCTTCAAAGTTCCCTGATATCAAAT